TTCTACAATCGATGCCGAAACCTATCAAATCAAGTCTGATTGACCTCAAATTTTGCACACAAGTCATAAATAACACAACGGACCTACTCCAACTCCCGTAATCCAAATTCGAGCCCGGTAACCACAAAGTCAACTCTCGGTCAAACTTCTAAATTTTCAAAGCTTCTAATTTTTCAACTTTCACCATTTCAAGTCTAATTCAACTACGGACCTCCAAATCACTATCCGGATACACTCCTAAGTCCGAAATCACCAAATGGAGCTATCGGAACCATCAAAACTCCATTCCGGAGTTGTTTACACATAAGTCCACATCTGGTCAACCTTTACAACTTAAGCTTCCAACCTTGAGACTAAGTGTCTCAACTCCTTCCGAAACTTCCCCGGATCCGAACCAGCTACCCTGGTAAGTCACATAGCAACAATTAAGCATGAAATAAGCAGTAAATATGGGAACGTAGTTACAACACTCAAAACGATCGGCCGAGTCGTTACATTAATTTATCAAATCAATATATCTACATCGTGTGTTTTGGTTTTTTCTTCTCACTGTACATTAGTTCTATTTTTTTCCTGATTATGACAATTTTATTTTTTAATGTTATTTTCCGAATGAACTGTTTTTACTTCTCATTATAATAAATATGTGAATGAATTAATTCTTAAAAAGATTAATTCTTAAATCAAAATTATTATATTCTTAATAATAAGAAAGCATTCTTATAGGCATAAATATGTTCCCCTTGGTAGGAGAATGAAATTTTAATAAAATAAATATCCTACACTAACTATTGATACAAGCCAAGCAAATTATTTTTAGAGAAGTCCACGCTCTCAAGTATCTTTAGAGAAGTCGCACATGTAACTTTCTCTCATATTTCAATCCCCTCAGTACCAACGGAAATTATTTTCCAAGTTTGTAATTTTTTTATTTTAATGTCTCATCTTTTAGCAGTAGAAAAGTTTTAAGAAATTTGAATTGAACTACTCATATATAATAAATCTTTTCACAATAAGATCCAATATAATGTATTGCAAACGCATGGGTAACAAAAGAAACATACATTACTGATTATTAGGTCTATATCCCTTGAAGATGTCCTCTTAAAGTAAAAATTATTTTCTTTATTGGAGAAAAGAACTCAACTTACGGCGTTAGACTGTTTTTTTCTTTTCTTTTCAAAAGTCAAAAGTATTGTAGGTATTCATTCCTTAATTATTTATGTAAAGACTTTTCTTTAAAGCTCACAGTTCCAAATTATTTCTCAAGATACATTATCGAAGATTTTATTTTCCGGAATCGTTCAAGTATTTTTAGAGGTTAACTTCAAAAATGGGTCCATTATCTTTTGTCGCCTCTAATCTTTCAGTTGTATTTCTAAGATACTTTATCCTATACTTAATTAGTGCTACAATAATCCCCAACAATCTTGGCAAATAAATGAACATCAGATGATGGGGCCTTAGCAGAGCCACCGATCTAAAAGAAAATTGGCCGTTAAGGAAAAAAAATCTAAAAGAAAAAAGAAAACACCAAGCAAAAAAGATTATGAAGTGCTAGGTCGCATGCGTTTGAAAGATGGAATATGATAGAAAGATGTGGAGGTCGAGTATTAGGGTTGTAGGTTATGAGGTGGTTGAGTCGTGTCTTAGTTCGTACCATTATGGGACGAACCATGTAGGATTTGTCTAAGATAGTTAGTGGCAATGTTGTGGCTTACTATTTTGCTTTTCAGTGCATGTCATATTTACTAGCTATCGTTTTTGCTTTGCATCTTTCTTTTAGATTTCATGGTGTTTCTATTTTTCTTATGATTGTTGTGGTGATACTAATATTGTCTCCCTTTGCTTTGCATATTTCCTCTGGATTTCATGGTGTTCCTATTTATCCTATGATTGTTGTTGTGATACTAATATTGTCTCCCTTTGCTTTGCATATTTCCTCTGGATTTCATGGTGTTCCTATTTATCCTATGATTGTTGTTGTGATACTAATATTGTCTCATTTTTGTCCTTTTGTCTTTTTTTTTTAGCCGAGGGTCTTTCGGAAACAGCTTCTCTACTCCTTCGGGATAGGGGTAAGGTCTGCGTACACACTACCCTCCACAGACCTCATTAGTGAGATTTTACTAGGTTGTTGTACTAAGTGGCACATTCGTAGAGGTAAACTGAAGGAAGAGCAAAAAGAAGGTTGGATGGTTATGGGGCGAGGCATCCCTCTCGCAGTAGGATTCCAAACCTTGCCTTACTCTTGTTAAAATTAATGCTTATTCGGCCGGTCCTACCCTGACTTATTAGGATAGGACATTCTCTTATCCGAGGTGACTTGAGCTTGTCTTGGCTCTCTTATTTGACAAATAGGACTTTGCTTAGATGGTTTGTCACGCTTAGTTTTTGATCGAGAAAGACGAAAATATGTAAACGTGGGCCCTCCTCTTAAGACCGAGAATTACACACAGCAATGCCATATCCCAAATTTTTGGATTGTCCTCCAAACTTTGCTAGGATATGAGGCATTGTTGGTCTTGCGCAAGCACCGACTGAAACCTTGATTTATGGCTCAATCATTAGTAGATTATCTAAATTATCTATATTTTCAATCGTTGCGATATTTTGTGGTGGAATCGGCGTTCATCTGTTGTTGAGGCAAGCAACGATAATTTTAAAATTTAAAGAGCAAAAAGTATATTCACGTATGAAATTAGTATTTTTCAAATTTAACAAAATTGTAAATGCTCGACGATATATGTATCAAAATTGTATGTCCTTTGTATGTTTCTGCTATTCAGACGATCAACTGAACCTACAATTGAACTCATTCGGAACAACTCCCATCTAATGTCATTACCGTCATTATTACTCATAACGAAATGCATTAAAAATCCTTGTTGTCGTTCATTATTTTCACATGCACTCGAACTCCTATGTCATTGTGAATTTCCATTAGAGGACACCTATTAACTCTATACTTGATTTTGATTATTTTAGCATAGGTGTCTACTGCTAGTCGACCTGCAGTGTTTGAAACTAATGAATCATAGTTTGATTCAGTGTTGATTATCAACCCATCAATAGGAAATCAACATATCTACCCTACTATCCCATAAGCAGGGGCGGAGTTACAATAGTGGGTGTGGGTTCGGGCGAACCCAGTGATTTTTTCTGAAACCATGTATTTGTATTGAAATATTTACTAAATTTATATAAATATATACTGTCGAATTCATTAATAAAATGGGTCTTGGTTCAACGGTAAGGGTTGTGGGTTCGCTGGGAAAGATGGAAGTTTGATTCCCGCTGAAAGTAGTGTTTTGTTTTAAAATTTAGAACCCATACACTTCAAATCTTAGCTCCGCCTCTCCCATAAGTCCATTGTGTTGAAGCATAATTGCCATCGTCGCCATTGAATATGCAATTCTCTTTCTTCTTGTATCACTGAATTAGATTTATTGATAATGATTTAATTGCATTGCAACTGCATATAAACTGTGAAGTTAATTTCCTATTGAGTTTCAATTTATATTTTTTGAAATTGTGTAAGAAACATACAAGTTATGTATTTTGTCCTTGGACAGTCTGAGAGTGAAACAAAAGATATTTTTGGAGAGAATGATTCGTATAGCAATAGATGAATTTATACAACTGAAACTGAAATCCTTAATAATATATGTTAATCGCGCCACGTGTATTTAAGATAATTTGACGCTGATAAGCAATTTTTACCGTGATTGTGCATGTTTTGTTAAAAAGCTATTATACTAGTTATTGAAATACTAGTTCTACCGCTATTTTTACATGACTAGGAAAAATTCCAATATCTAATTGAGGGCGAAGGGATTTTAACTATTTCATCGCATGATGATTCATTTTTATTTGAGGTACAAATTTATAGTAGTACTTATTTCACTGGCCTAAAGAAGTTAAGTGCTAATCTAAGTCATTTTCCCACTAAACATGTTAGTCCTATTATTCTACAGTACAAAATTTACTCACAACTCTTTTTTGTCCATATTAGTTGATTTTTTAATTATTTTTTAATGGTTCATAATATTTGATTTTTTCAGATATTTAGAAGAAATTAATTTCTTTTTTCTAAACTTTCCCTTGAAGTAAAGAGTTTAAGATCATTTGTTATATTTTTAATAAATAAATTATAATTAATATAATTAATTTTATTATTAATTAATGCTAAAATACGAATTCAAAAAAGGCCAAAAACTCAAATAAATACTATTTATTCCTCCCACAACAGGAAATTGAAATAGGGAAAAGTCACAAAAGAGGAATTGTCAAGAATTATTGCATCACCTGCTTATTGGGACTCGCACTTTGTGCTGCTGCTATTCAAGATCTGTGCCCACAATAGAACAAAACCAAAATAGTATCATCCAATTATTTATTTTGCACACTTCCCATTGCTCATTTTCTTCTTATATCCTATTGGTGGAGAGCCAGCTACAAACAGTAGAAGCAAGAAAAGGTTTCAAACCCCACAATGCTAAAAAGTGGCATTGTAACTACAACTAGTAAGCAACCGAGGTTTATGTCGATACCACTTCGCATATTTTACTAGGTGGTTCATATTAAATAAAAAGCTAAGGTAAAAAAGCAATGTTTCAAAATTATGGAGATTATTGAGGGATAGAATATAGTTTATTAGATTTTACCTCTCATGTTGACATTAGTTTCCATTAGTAAAAGTTTATTCCCATATAATTTTTATACCAAATTGTTTCAACTTACACTCAGATCATAATTACAAATAAGTAGTAATAAATAAAAATGATAAATAACCTGTCTCAGAGTTTAAAAGTCTCTTATAGTTTAATAAAGTGGTAACTATTCCTTAACTACAGGTTTTAGCTTTAAACCGCGTGGAATCATATTTAGTAAGAACTGCTTTACCCTCAAAGTGTTACTTAACGGTGTAGATCATGTGATAACCCCCCAAAAAGACTTAAAAATCGAGTATGAGTAAAACCAGTGGTCCTGGTCTTCATTTTTGTTTTTTTAAAAAAGAAAAGAAAAGCTAGACTAGATAAAGAAAAACTTCAACAAGGTATTTTCTTTTTCCTTTCCGTCTGTTCTCTTACTCTGTACCTCCACTAATACATATATACCATTTCTTGTTTCTTTGAGGTTGGGGTTTTATGCTTCAGCAAGTGGCTGAGCTCAGTAATGGGTAAACTTGTGAAGCAATGTAATTTAATCAACAAAGATGCAAATTCCCAAGTGGGTTCCAATTCTTGAAGTTGATTTTTCACCTTAGTCAAGGAATCTTGGTGAAATGATTCATCTTGGTACTGTATAATCTTGTTTATTGCAACCCCTTTTACTGTATTGGAATAAAGTTTGGATTTTTATTTGGGATTTTGAAGCTCTGATTTTAGTTTTGCTTTTCTTTAGTAGCTTTGTGTGGATTCAAGGAGTTTAGATAAATATCTTGGAAATATCTTGAATAAAGTTAAATGCTTTATTCAAGAAATGGCTGCAGATGATTATCACCAGCGGCAAGCTTTATCATTTCAATCAGGGGCAATTGACAGCACATCATCCCAAATGATTTTGATGAGTGATTACTATAGTCAGCTTGGGATGAATAATTTTAGTGTAAATTATAGTGGTGTAGGACACGTAGGTGGAGGGATGTTATTTTCAGGGAATCCAACAATGGTAACCAGCAACAATAACACTAGTATCAATAGTCCAAGAATTAGTCCGTACGGAAGTTGTTCAGGTTCTTTTCTTATAGATTCAGTGCCGGGGCTCAAGCACGACTCGGGGCTAGCAGCTGAGTGGACGGTGGAGGAACAGTACAAGCTGGATAAAGGACTTATCAAGTAGGTAGTTTATTCTTGGTCTCTGAATGAATATATATGCTGTGATGTTTTTGTGTCTATCCGATGTTTGTGACAAAATTATATATATTAACCTTACAAGTTTTTTTGATGATAGGTTTGCTAATGAACCCCGTATACTAAAATATATTAAGATTGCAGCCACACTCCGGGATAAAACTGTACGTGATGTTGCAATGAGATGTAGGTGGATAATGGTGAGCTCCCGAGGCTGTTATTATTATTGATGAAGTCTTATCTTTTCATTTGCCTTAAACATTTCTTATGATAGATTTATGCTAGTTGAGAAGACTTACGTTTTTTGTGGTTGTTTGTCAGAGAAAACGAAGGAAACAGGAAAACTATAGTTTGGGAAAGAAATTGAAAGATAGGAAGGTGTGCCGTCATCTACTTTACTTACTTTTATCCTTTTCTTCCCTTCCGTTCCCTTTATCTTGTATGGTATTACGAATTACTTTGATTTTCTTATGATCAGACATAGTGAGTGGAGTATTTTGTTTATCCAGTTTCTTGAATCTGGGAGGTCTGGAAACGGTTGATTGTAACTTTTATGTTTGCAGTTTTTTTTAGTCATGTTAGTTTGAAGAAATGTGCATGCTGTAAAATTTAATTTTACTATTCTGACCAAGTACTACAGCTTATTACCTACATGCCATCTATATTTCCAGCTAAGACAGAAAGAAAGCTTGACAACATTAGGAGAGAATTTTTCTATGAAGGAGATAAAGAGGATAAGACTTTTCATGCAACGAAATGGAGCAAAGTAACTAAGATAAAGAAGGAGGGGGTTTATGGATAAAAGTTTGATATTCCGTACAAGGGTTTGTTATATTACTGGTTGTGGAGATATTGCCAGGTTCCGATGACCTTTAGAAACAGGTAATCCCAGTTGAATATGCGAAAGCTGATCCTCTGTGCACTAACCAGTAATATAAACATGGAATTGTATTGTGAAAGATTGTAAAGCTGGGGAAAGAAGCACATTCTTTTCAAGCACTTGTGTTACAGTAAGTTTTGGAAGGAGCTAAAGTTGTGGCGTTATACATGAATATAACACTTTCATCTTAAAGTTGAATTACCACAATTGTTCAGTTTCTCCAGGAATACTAATGCTGCCATTGCACAATACAAAACAAATGGTGGCTGGCGCAATGGCGGAGCCAGGATTTCGCCAAGGGGATTCAAAATATAAAGAAGTTAACTTTCGGAAAAGGCAAGGGGATTCAATCTCTACTATATATACATAAAAAATATTGACCTTGTAAATATAATTGCGAACCCAGTAACTAAGACGAGCTACGGGATTTGTGGCAAATTCAGAACCCACAAACTTCAAATCTTGGCTCCGCCTCTGCCGAACTCTCACTGCAAGACAAGGCATAAAGTTTTTTGTTCATCAAACATCTCCTTGATTGTTGACCTTGGAGGATTATCAGGAGGAGAAAAAGCACCTCTTAAGGTGGTTAGGTTTGTTGGATTGTCAAGTTTGATGCTTGTTTGACAATCAAATCTGCAGAAGAGGAGATTTTAATGTGTAATAGGTGTTATATATGAGTTTTATGGTGAAGATTCAAGCCATCTGTTGCTACACAGTGTAGTGGCAAGACAGCTATGGAGTTGTTCCAGCTTGCCCTTTTTTGGGTGATTTCCCAGTATAGAAACCAGAGGTGTTTGAAGATGAAGCTGAATTAGTTTACAAATTCTTGTAATTTTTTGGCCTTTTGGTGTAACTTGTTAAATGCACATGAATTGAGTATTCTTATAGGTTTTTCATCCCCTTTGGATATTAATGGGGAGCAATTATTTGCAACTATACAGTTTCAGGATCTACTCTCTGCTGGCTTTTGATGAATAATTTTGTTTAAGATGTAATCCACTAGATATGTATCTTTTCGAAATGTTGCATCTGCTGCAGGAAAATTTCTGAATAGCGATATTTCAGATCACTAATGAACTCTAACTTTAAAAAACACTTTCTGAAGGTTCATGTAATCTTCCCTAGTTTTAGTATGTCATGATATTTAATCATTGATCATCTCTTTGTGCATGTCTATTGGTATGTTTCTATCTGCATGCGTGTTTCTTTACGCATTTTTTTATCACATTGATTGAGAGAAAACACATTACACATTTAATGCTTCTTCAGGATAAATCAGCGGAAATGTCCTCAAAGAGTAGTGCATCTGCTTCACTTTTGAGCTTGACGCCATATTCTCTCCCCATAAATCATCATAACCATGCTGCTGGAGGTTAGTCTCGTATGTTCATCAATAGGAACATATTCTTCTCCTTTTTCTTTTTTGCCAAAAGAACAAAGTTGTAATATGATACTCATTTTCTGATTATGTCTTAAGTAAACGAACTTGCATCCATTATCTCATAACAGATGATTTCTTACCTAATGCAAGTAAGTAATGTTTCTGGTTGACGGTATATGTCTTATTCATTCTGGTATTGGATGAACAGCATTCTGCAACCGTGAGAGATTTTGAGTATCATTTTAATAGGCTTCTTTTCTATTGTGTGATGAAATCCGAGAACAGTTTATTTAGTTAGTTGCTTAGCTTTAACTAGGGAAAGACAATCAAAGTAATAACAATTGTACCTTGTAGGAAAGTGATTAGGACTTTTTTTTTTGTTAATATGTTGGAGATCGGCAACAAGAGAAAAATACTAACTCTTAATACAATATGCTTGTTGCTTACTTGATAAACATCACTTTTATGTGTAATTACAAATTAATAAAAAAATTCCATTGTGTTTATTTGGCCCCTTTATTTGAATACGAGAAGCGCCCAAGTACCGTAAGCACATGGCTATGAACCCCTTTGCTGCCTTTTGTTAAAAATAATATTAATATATTACCCAGTGATGTACTTCCCAGAATTCTCAGATTTTTATACTCCAGACAGCCCATATATCAACTCAAAAGTCCCACCCGTACCCCATCATGCAACCATATAAATCAACATTTTTTGATGAACCATATACATCAATTTAACACTGGAATAATGTTAAATACCATGCTCAAATCTTCAAGATTACGCGACTGCTCAATTTCCTGCTTTGCTTTCTTTATGCTTTGATGCTGTGATCTCCTCTTGTGTCCACTATCAATTGTGTCATTTCGTGTCCAGCTGTCCAACAAATCTTGAGTTCTTCCGGCTGGTTTATTGCCTCTGGTGCCTTTTTGCAATCTTACTCTGTGTCCCTTATTCACTGTATCTTAAAGCTTTTGCGGTTGAGATCATCTTTTGTGGACTCAGTTGTTCCACAAATCTTCAGTACGTCAGGCTGGTTTATTGCATACATCCCTTGTTTCTAGTTAATTGTTATCATATCTTTCTTAATCACGTTAGTGTATATGTGAGAACTTAATAAGTTCTCTTAAGGGAGTCTTTTTTCACGATTTCTTTTCCCTTGTGCACTTTCTTTGATGTCTTCTATGAGAAGAAATGCCATGAGCTTTGCACTTTTGAAGGTTCTTTATGAAAGTTGCATGCATAGCTTTTTTCAAAGGTCCTTTTCAACTTTTGGAGCTTCTAGAAAAATCCTTTTTACCTTTTTTTTTTTTTTTTTTTTTTTTTTTTTTTTTTTTGGAAAAATAGTATGGGATGCTGAAATTTGCTTAGTTACTATAAGGTCCTTGTCACGATCAAGGCCCAATTGGCAAGGTATTGTCCGCTTTGGCCCGACTGCTCTAGGGCACCTCAAGGCTTTTGGGACTCCCTATTTTGTCATCTTGGGCTTTAACAAAAGACACCTCGGCAGTTGAATCCCGAACTCGCTCTTATATGACGCGTAACTTTCTCTCCCATTCTGATGTCGGATTTGCTAAGGTAATTACATAGTAATTGTGAGAAAGCACGGGTTCATCTTTTGGAGATTCAGTCATTATCTCCCATTTATCTTCCTCTACATCTCCAGCTCCTCCAGTTGTAGCTCTACCACCTACAGTTGTAGCTCCACTGCCTATAGCTCCAGTTCCTCCACATAATCCAGTTCAACCTTCTGCAGCTCCACCACTCTTGACTTATCATCGTCGTCCACATCCAACATCAGGCCCGGGTGATTCACGCCCTGCATCAGATTCTGCACCTACTGCGGAGTTGTCTCCTCTTAGTCAACCAATTGTACTCCGCAAAGGTGTACGATCCACACTAAATCCTAATCCCCACTATGTCGGTTTAAGTTATCATCGTCTGTTGTCACCTCATTATGCTTTTATATCTTCTTTGTCCATTGTTTCTATCCTAAGTCTACAGGTGAGGCACGATCTCATCCAGGATGGCGACATGCTATGATTGACGAGATGTCTGCTTTACATGCGAGTGACACTTGGGAGCTTGTTCCTCTTCCTGCAGGTAAGTCTACTGTTGGTTGTCGTTGGGTTTATGCAGTCAAAGTCGGCCCGGATGGCCAGGTTGATCGGCTTAAAGCTCGTCTTGTTGCAAAAGGATATACTCAGATTTTTGGGCTTGATTATAGTGATA